GGCAGGACCCAGGCATGGTTTGGTCGCTCCTGCAAAATTCCATTATGCCTTAAGCAGGAGTGCTACCAGGCCTGGGCTGACGCATCCACGTCTCGGAGTGAAAATACCAGCGCTGTTAAAAAAAGTATAATTCCGCCTCCATGTCCTTCAAAACTGTCATTGCCAATGCAAAAGACAGAGCACATCGGCAGAATTGGCGAGAAACTAGTTCGTCTTCCTTCGGGAACATGTGCGTTCTGGTGTCTCGTTAAGGCTGTCCAAGGGAACTTCTGTCAGCCACCTCTCCCATCTATGCACAGGGAGAACAACTCATTGGTACATGCCGCAAAGGACAAAGCCGATGTGCTAGGCTCTCTTCTCTTTTCGTCCAACTCGACTCTTGATGACGGGGTAACACACCGCCGATGTTAGAGCTCCATGCAGGATGTGCGGTAAACAGCTAACGCTTGGTGTGCAAAAGCACTCCTCTTCCTGGACGTCAACAAGTCGAGTGGGCCTAATGGCGTCCGTCCTATTGTGCTAAAGACGTGTGCTTCGGAGTTGGCACCGGTTTCAACGCATCTTTTCCGGTACTCCTACTCCCTAGGCGTAGTTATGAAATCATGGAAGACAGCTTTAGTACACCCGATCCCTAAAAATGGCGACCGCTCAGATCCGTCTAAATACAGGACTAGGCTATGTGCATGCTCCGATGACAAGCCAATTAACGCTGGTATTCCGTAAGGCTGCGCTATTTCTTCTGCATATCGATGATATGTTGCAAACTGGTAACAATCATTGCTATGCGAAAGACAGCACTGGTGATGCTTTATACACCGGCCATACCAATATTTTTCGGGAAAACGTCACCGAGTACCGTTACAAACTTATGTCTCAAGTCAAGACTTTGGTGAGCAAGGTCTCGGGCTGGAAATAACTAAATCTAGACTAGTCAAATCCCCCGAATGACACAAGTTTGCGCTTTTACCGCTGAAAAAAACCCTCCATTGTATCTTCTCAATTTCAAGACACTCCTCTTGTTGCCTCAGCCAGTATCTGAATCCTCGGTGTTGACATACCAAGTGACGCAGTTTTGTGGTCACTTGGAAGAGTAAGTCAAATTGGCCTTTAAAACGCTTGGTGTGCTCAGCAGAGCGGGAAAGTATTTCATACCGGCACACTGCCTGCAACTTTACAAGGCGCACGTTCGGCTGCACATGTAATACCGTTCCCACCTCTGGGCTTGGTCTCCCCAGTGGCAGCTCCTTCCATTTGATCGCTTCCAGCGCAGAGCTGTTCGAATCGTTGGCGACCAAGCTCTTTTCCATCGGTTTGACTAACTGATACTGCGAAGAGAGATGTTGCATCTCTGCGTATTTTATCGTATTTACCACGGGAGTGCTCTGAGGAATTATTCGGACTAATTCCAGCCGCACAATTTCACCATCGCACATAATATCTGGATGACTGGCGATCCACCACTGTGCAATTTGAAAGAAGTTTTATTCCTCGCACAACTTCCTTGTTTAATCGACTACCACCAGAGATTTTTCCGAACCGATACGACTGAACCTCCATGAAAAGAGCCTACTCTATTTTAAAAGGCCGGCAATGCATTTGCAATTCCCTTGATGTTGCAGTTGTTCATGGGCGGCGGTAATCACTTACCATTAGGTGAGCCTTACGATCGTTTGCCCCCTCTCCCATAAAAACAAAAAGTTAAGAAGTCCTCTTTTCTTTTAATTTGAGCTAGTGTTTCAATAAGAGACTATTCAAACAACGGAATACCAATAGTAAGAGAACACTATAGCTGAATGACATCAAAATTAAAGGTAACCAAAAAATAACAGACATTCCGCTCGTACAAGAAGACTTTTTTCAAGAAGAGACAATGAATTTTATGTATCCGCAAAAAATATTTTTTATGAAAGCTTGGAATTGTGCTGAACTTAGTGAGTATTAATTAATAGAGAAAACATTAAAAAAACAGATCGAATAAAGTACTTACACGAAAGAGTTTTGTAATCAGAACACGAGACTAACTTGATTGTCTGTTATAAATGTGAAGCTCAAGACACGTGTCGACGGCTAACATGGTTTATATTGATTAACAATATTGTTTAACTGAACAATATGAACTAGGTCGCATAATACAATTTTATCTTATGTAAGAAATTGGCGACAACACAGATGTTTCTAGTTTAACACGTATTGTACGTAAAAGTGTAACAGTAGTTTATATGTCCAATCTACATAACAACTCATATGATATGAAATTGTTAAATAATAAAAATCTATAGTTATTTACTGAACGCTAAATTCATGACATTTTTATTCTCCATTATTATTTCTCCAGAGATAGGATATTTCTTTTTTTACGTTTAGTGACACATTGATACTTATATTTATTTTTCCCCATTCCGACTTGAAGAAAAGTTCAGATAGAAACAAAGTAACTACAATGAGTTAACTGACTGTCAGGTATAATAATGTGCGAACTTTATACTAATTGAAATACTGTACGAAAGTAAATACTTCCAACGAAGAAAAAACTGCGATCGTAGTTGACGATACTCTTGCACGCACAAAATATCAAGTCTGTGTTCCGAAATAGAACCCAGTATATTGGCGAATGCAAATGACGTCATTAATTGACGCCATATAGTACTGGCGTGCCGTCGCCATATTTTGAATATCACGCCATATTAAAACAATTTCTAATTGTGTGTACGTTGAATGAAGTACGCCAGAAAACATTAAATAAATTTTAATTTGTGAAAATGCGATATGCACTTCCTAGCGGTTAATTTTCCCCTCCCTGATACCAATTTTTCTTTTTTTGCGGATTTAGCGCATAATCTGCACTTGGTAGACACATTAATAAAATTAATCACTGCCAGCAACGTGGATTTACGTCATGCGAGCATAAGACAAGTTTTAATTGCGCCATTTATTTTATTGACGAACTAAACTGCAAAGTTACCAAAAGTTTAGTAGTTATTTTGTTACTCTCACTGAGCTTTCCTTTGCCTATTAATATTATATTATAGGTTATACGACTAATATTTGTAAATAAACTAATAAATACTTAGTAATAACTAATAGTTATAAATACTTATTGCAATGTAAGCGATTATACACTACTCCAAAGGTATGGTTGTTATGGTTTAATTTTTTTCGAAATCATTTCTTAATGAATGCGTAACCCTTAAATTGACACTTTATGTGACGTACAATGATTGTCACATGCAGTATGTCGCAATCACACAAAAAAAACTATGTCACAATATACACAAAAAACTTTTGATAAATCCAAATGTGTATGTTCTAAACGCTCATGTTATACGTCAAATTTTAAAATATTTTTAGAGCCCTCTTACATTTCGGCGTTACACAAATTTAGGTATTATACGCACCGAGCGGGCGATGAACTACGCGAGCGATACGTTCTTTCATATCTATTCAATCGCTCGCACTGTGATACTGTGAGTATAGCGAGTTCAGTCGATGGAAAATTTTTGTTGTGTCATTTTTATGTTATATATGATGATGTGATATATTTTTCATTATTTATGAACCTTAGTGTTGAAATAAGTACACATAAATATTTTAATTGTTACGTAGTAATCGATTGTTAACCTATGTTGGTTAATAATCGAATATATCTACTAACGGTAGCATAGTGGTATAAATAAATAAATAGTACGGTTGCAACCACTTTTAATAAATAAAACAACCAACTGTAACTAATATTTTTTAATCGGTAACTACAATCAATTACCATATTTTTTATTATAAAAATATTTGCCGCAACGGCATTGACCGAGCTTATCTCGAGTCAATAATTTCAGGCAGTACACACTTTTTATAAAACGCTTGTAAGTTAAGTTACATATTCAAAATCCAAAATCTGTCGTCTTTGTAGATTTTTAGTTCTTTTACTGCATAATCTGAAATTTTTATACTCCATTATTATTTCTCCAGAAATAGGATACTTCTTTTTTACGTTTAGTGACGCATTGATACTTCTATTTATTTTTCCCCATTCCGACTGGTAAGATAGCTCAGATACTTTCAAAATAACTGTAATGAGTTAGCTATCTGGTATAATAATATGTAACCAACTGTCGTGATGTAGGATGGGGAAAAGATGCAAAGTAATACGGACACTCGCGCGCAGCAGATAAAGGTTTTTTTAGCTTTCGTGCACAATTTATCTTATTAAGAATAATTATGTAGGCTATTTATTAAACGTCGACAAGCAGTCAAAATCAAAATAGTGTAACTTCTGTATGTAGTACTATTATTAATTCTCTGCTTAAGGCATGCAATTTTCAATAAAATCTGTCTTCATATTTGGGTGATTTTAAAACTTTTATACATTTTGTTGTGTGGAAACGTCTACGTGAATATTGTCCAAGAAAAATGCATTGAGGTGATCAAACTAGTATTGTTATCATTAAACAACACTTTTTCCAGATGGGTTGCAATATTTCAGATCATTATTAATAGGTGATAAAAAAACGATGTTTACTTCTTTAGTCTCATAATATTTTCATATAGCAAACTCGTGTCTCTAAGCACAAGTAAGCAACAAAAAAAAACGAAGAAGAAACTACTTATATATAATTTACATGTTCTAGTTGCACAATAACTAACCTTGGCGTGCTCAGCAGAGCGGGACAGTATTTTATGCCGGCACATTTACACCGACTTTACAAGGCACAGGGTCGGCCGCACATGGAATACTGTTCCCATCTCTGGGCTGGGGTTTGGAGATGGAGACTCCATTGGAGATGCAGGCGCCGACATGATTACTGTTGAAAGGACACAACATAAATGAAGCGCCGGCCGGCCCGAGTGCGCGATTTTACGATCGCAGTTCGCGCGGGACCATACAATTTCATACGCTGCATTTTATTTTCGCGACAATCGCGTCGCGAGTAGTCGCGCCAAAATGTGACAAATCACAATTTTAAAATCGCAGCGATTTTAAAATTGTGATTTGTCATGCATCTCCAATGGAGTCTCCATCTCCAAACGACACAAAGATAGACGTGGAACATTTGATAATCACTGTACAAGAAAGACCACCTTTGTGGAATAAACATTCCAAAGAATATAGTGATAGAAATTTGAAAACGCGTTTATGGCAGGAAGTATGCGAAAATGTTATACAGAACTGGGCTGAACTAAGCAAACAAAATAAAAAAACAAGGTAAGATTTATTATATTTTATTATATTGCCATGGAATAGATCCACTGGATGAAGTGAAGTAGTTTCCAAAATAATCTCGTATTTCAATACAATTAACTGTAGGTCGCGCAGACGTGGGATCCATATTTTTTAGATCACATCCATATAATTCGTCTTTGAATCGTATTTCCGTATAAAATTGTGTAGGATACAACATGCTTTGACTACTTTGTCACAAAACTCAATTTTTACGTCTAATGATCGATTCAAGATACGCCATTTATTTGTTAAAATGCCAAAGGTGCATTCTACCATTCTTCTTGCTCTTGTCAGCCGGTAATTAAACACTCTCTGTTTAATTGATAAATTCCGTCTGGGGTATGGTCGCATGATATGTTTCGTGAGTGCAAATACTTCATCTCCAACAAAAACAAACGGCATTTTAGGTCCATCTGTATCATTTGGTAAATTTCTTGGTTGAAGTATATATAACAGGTCATTTTCCAATTTTTTTGCGAAATTGGTTTGCTTAAAAATTGTAGAATCACTGCTGCTTCCATATGCACCGATATTTATCATAATATATGAATAATTCGAATCAGCTACAGCCATCAAAACGATAGAGTTATATTGTTATCCAGAGATATGTTTTCCAGATACAGACTCCATCCACCGCGTCCAAGCAACTAGGAAAGTTTGTTCTTTTATAAAAACCCTCAGCAATTTTTAACCAATCATTTTCCTTCGGTTCGGGCATATATATTAGATGCAAACAAAACCATAGCTTTTCACATGTATCTTCTACTATTTCACGAATTGTGGTAGCTCCTAATAAATATTCGTAATAAAAAGAGTAACAACTTTTCCCGATGCAAGATATCTGAAAAAAAAGAAAAATAGTAGAAATTAAGAGTATTTATAGTATTTGGGGTGGGTGGGATCTATCTCCTAGCGGTCTACCCCAGGCAACGTCTGTTGGCGGCTAAACGATCCCACCACGCCGCCTGGCTTGCGACCAACATGCCCATCTACAATAAAAATAAAAAAACGCTTTGAGATTGCGCTGTGTACGCAATAGACGATTTCAGTCAAAAATTTTGATATACTGAGAAAGTGGAAGAACTTGAAGGACTGTTTTTCTAGAGAGTTAGGATGCGCAAAAAAAAAGTGAGTCGGGTCAATCTGGTAAGAAGAAACGAAAGTACATTTTCTTTGATCAACTATCATTCTTGATACCTTATTACTACTCCAAGAGACACTAGTGGCAACATCAAATCTATTGAAGAATGTGCAAATTCGGAAACTCAATCGGACGAGGATAATAGCCAACAGAAGCAGGATACCAGAAAAGCTATATACCAACGTAAGACAGGTGCTCAAGGACGAAAAGAAAATACTGATGAAGGAGGAACTATTGAATATTTTACGTAAGAAACAAATTCTTGACGAGGATGTTAGTTTTGCAGAGATGTTGATTCCAATGTTACGGAAACTAAATGAGGATCAAAAATTTTATGCAAAAATCGGAATTTTAAATGCCATGGATAGGGCTAAAAATATCTTCCGCAGCCTTTATACCCCGGATCAATGCAAACTGCTTCTCAGAATGTACTCGTATGTCCCGGATCAAATACTGGTATGCATACCGCGCAACCTACATACCCCGTATCAATGCAAAATACTTTCCAACCTGTATATTTCATACCAATGATAAATCTTCCACAGTTTATACAGCTAATAAAATTCTGGTAACTATTCCTCCACCGACATACACGAATACCAGTGCCACATATATTAATTCCGAGCCGAGAACATCCTCGTCTAATTTTGTTAATCCACGAAATATAGTGATCAGCACGAAGAAACTCTCTGCAAAAAAACCGTTGATTGAAGAGAATTTCAATGAATTCAATACGAGCAATGACTATTATGAACGATTTGGACAAGATTTGCAGGCGTCTGAATCCGAGATTTCCCAAGACTCTGATGATTACTTTGACGTGACAATGTCGACGCTTTAATAAATTTTATAGGTACTTATTAACTTAATATACTTAATAATTATAATATATTTGTTTGTTTTACTTACTTGAGGGTGACTGACAGCCTTTCTTCAGCTGGTATTGCATTTCGCCATCTAGTATTTTTGTATTCAATATGAGGTCCAACAATTCTCAGTAATCTATCAAATGTTTGAATTTTCATTCTATAGTAGCCAAAGAATTTTTTGGGTTACATCCGAAGTTCATGGTATTTCTGATAAAAGAAACCTTTGATAATTCTATCCGCTGTAAAAGGATGAGTCCAGTATTGACGAATTTTATTATTTTTTTCTTCTGATCCTCCGAAGTAGTAAATAAAGACAAGCAACTTGTACGGAATCCATGATGTAACTGAGCAAAGATCACAATTTTTTTATCGCAGTGCGCGCACCGTACGCTTTGCGATTTTTTACACCGTGATTTTAAAATCATGTCGCAAAAAGAAAAATCGTGGTGTGCGCTAGGCCTAATGGTCGTTAACTTGTGCTGAAAACTCATTTCCCGTAGTTGATTGGCACTTTCAGCTCTATTGCATTAAACGTTCCAGATTTACGACAGATACTATGAATGTATCGTGCCGTGGTATTCAAAGTTTGTTATTTTATATGGAAATCCTGGGAAAATTATTTGAGTTCTGTTAAATTTTTCTTTGCTTTCCGCATAGCGTGCTTTGATTTAAAAGCTTTAATTTATCAAGAAATAATCCGCTTTACAAACATCTTTAAGTGCTGTCTCACGATCATGATTCAAAACCACTTCCATGTACACAGCTGTCGTCCTTCTCATTGTCTCATTATTGAACTTTCGAGGATTCCATTCCTTTCGTTCGCGATCCTGAACTCCTCTCGAGTTGAACACCATCATAAACATGGGAGTCTTTCGTAAACACTTAAGGCTTAATGACACCAAATGGGATCTGTTCTCCCTCGATTTTACTCGGCTCGTTAGAGTTAAAAGCATGCGCCAGCGATCACGGAAAATAATTGTTATTTCAGAACTGCGATAATGATCTTAATTGATTTAGCAATTTTATTTCATACGCAAATAAATAATTGTTATAGCCTTTTTGATTATTTCTCATTTATTTATGTCCGAGATATATTCTTCTCTTATTTTTTTCATATTGCTATTTAATTAATTCAGTCTGCCTCTACTTTTCACTACCTGTTGACTGGTAATAAATGCCGACTAGCATTAAGTTCGCGCTTGTATATTGTATCCTTCATGGTTATTACATCATATTTCAAAATAAAATGAATAAATATTGTTTTTACTTATTGCGTTTTTAAAATGTTATCAAGTATATTTTGCGTAAAAATTACATCAGTAGTTGCGTAGTGTCATCTACCGAGGCCTTAACGAAATGAACTTAACGTTTGTTCAGATTTTCAAGCAGATAAGTATTGATTAAAACTACTTTTACGGATTTTATCGCGTTTTATTTATATTCATTTTAATACCCGACTAACTAAACCCAAGCATACCACTGCAAGACTTCAAAATACAGTTAGTTCATTCTGCGTAGATCGTACCAAAAACAATAATTAAAAAGCTGAAGGTACTCCGGGTTAACTTTGACATCAGGACGTCAGTCACCTCAGTCCCCCGTGACCATGGGTGCTGGAAAGCACCCAAAACGTCGGGTATTAAAATTAATATAAATAAAACGCGATAAAATCCGTAAAAGTAGTTTTAATCAATGTATAGTGTTCGCGTAAATATAAGAAATCATTAGATAAGTCTTGGCTTTTGCGATGACAGATTTATCTTATCTGTTTTTCTATCAAACCGACCATTTAAAACGGATGGCGTGTTAGCTAACAAGGGGCTGGCTAATAAGGGCTACTACGGTGTATGCGTAATACATATGTTCGAATTCGTGACATATTGTTGCGCGCTTAAGTTGATGTCTGGTACCTGGCACTAGTGCCATCTAGTATCGCGTAACAGAGCGAGGAGAGCTTTCCAGAAAATGCCATGACTAATCTTTAAACCAACAGCGCCATCTAGTGTCGGTCGAATTGAAGAACTAAGCTCTCTGGAAAGCTCCACAATCGAATCGTTTCTGCACCTGATCGATCGAGGGCCGGTATTTGCTGGAATATTCTGGATGTTTCGGTGGAAAAGGTGTATTTAAACCCGCTGCAAGCCGCAATCGGGACAGTATTGTATTTGGCGAGACAAGCGAAGCTTCGGAGCGAAATAAAGTGAGTCAGTGTGATTAATTATTAGTGTATTTTAAGTTTTAATTAGTGTAAAGTGAATTAAAGTGTTAATTTTGGTAATTCAATCGGCAATTTTTATTGTCACAAACCCTAAGATCGTAACAATATTTTTACACTAGAAAATTTATATTGTTATCGAATCAACACTGTTAACGTCATGATATTTTCGTAACTCAAGTATAGACTTATATATAGATATAGCTCTTCTCTTTTTAAACATGCGTATATATCAAGGCCCGTTATAGTGACAACATCATGAAGACGTCGAAGATTTCTTAGGACGCAACCTTTTCTTGAAATATTACACTGTGTATGGTCTGCATTATAATGTACTTTGACACTGATCAATAAATAGGGACCATTTGACGATATGGCAAACGCACGACTACTTCATGATATGGCCAAACGTAAATGGTCATGTCATAAATAATAATCATCCAACGCTAGGGACGCTATTGGCCCATTTTTAACAAAGTCCGTATCACTTTGGCCTTTTAACTAATTTATTATATATCATATAAATGGACACAGTATAATAATTTATTATATCAACACGAATACTAGACGTTGAATAAAACTAATTTTTCCTTTTTATTTTATTATTTTAATTCCTGACGTTTTTTCACCCATGAGGGCCTTTTTTATATAGAATAAGGGTGACAAACGAGCACACAGTAAGTGTATGTTGTGGCCCATAACATTAATATCTATCCTCGATTAAGAATCAAAATGCAGATGCGTTGTCACCCCTGAGAACTAAGACGGAATGCCTCGTATCCAGAAATATGGGTCTTCGGTTTTCTACACTCACCATACGAAACATGCCAGTATTAAACTGATTTTTACGCTGGCATTCACTGAGAGCGTGGTACTTCCCGAGTCGAACCGACTCATTCGTGCTACAACCATAATATAGCTGCAGCATTACACTACCACGTTTATTGAAATAAAATACAATATTCTTGCAGCTGTGGACAAAAGACAACAACAAAAGAGTACCTTGTAATCCGACAAATTCCAGATCCAATAATTAGATTCTATATGTTATATATATGTACTCTGAAGTACAAATCATTCTTCATTGTGTATGTCAAATTTAGTAAATTAAGTAACACAAATGAGTGCTTACGTTTTATTATAAAATTAACGTCATTAAAGCTATAGAACATATAAAATATATGCAAAAACTTTCCATTAGGAAATAATTGTGTACAAACAAATGTACATACTAATAAAAAAAATATGAATCTATCAATTTAAGAGCGTTATTAAGAAGCAATAACGCTTTTTGAGGAAAATACAATACAATACAATACAACACTTTTTATTGCACACAAAATAATACAAAGAACAACAAACTTAAATTGATAAATTTATGTACAATTAGGTGGCCTCATCTCTAAACAGCGATCTCTTCCAGGCAAACCTTGGTGAAGGAGATCTTTTACATATAAAATATAGAAGTGTGCATAAATAGTAGATAAAAATAACACATAACATATATATATATATATATATATATATATATGTAGTGGCGGTTGAGAATATCCACTACCCCATATCTTCCCGTAGGTGTCGTAAGAGGCGACAGAGGGACACAGAAAGGAGATGGGCAGCAGCATCTTCCTAATAACAACAATAACATAATAAAAAACTGCGATTGCCGACCCGCTCGCCTAGCGTGGCAACTATGGCAAATATCCCCCCATGAGCAACGACGCAAATAAACGGCCCCCAGTCCCCGGCGGCCCCGCTATTCCAGGCTACGGTGGTGACCATGGTAACGGCGGGGCAGGGGGTGCTAAGAATCTTCGGTGGAGGTTCGGTTGCCACCTACGACGACTCGACCTGGCAACGTATAACGCACGCACCCTGAGGACTGACGAGAAGATACTGGAGCTGGAAGAAGAGGTAGACAAGTTGCGCTGGCATATTATTGGATTATCTGAGGTCCGAAGAGAGGGGGAGGACACGGTAATCCTCGAGTCCGGCAACTTGTTCTATCACCGGGAGGGCGACCATCTGTCCCAAGAAGGTGTCGGATTTATCGTCCACAAGTTTCTCGTCAACAACGTTGTAAAGATTGGGAGTGTGTCGACGAGGGTCGTGTATCTGATACTCAGAATCACCAAACGGTATTCGCTGAAGGTCATACAGGTCTACG